AGAAACTGAGCTAGAACGCAATGCCCTGAGTTCAAGCCACACACCTAGAAAAGATATTAAATGAATTAAGTCTGCATTTTTAAACTCGGTTTAAAAGCCATATTATTATAGTTACAAATCTAGGAAGTTTTCTTATTTTCCACTTTCTTTGTTTTATGGGAAATTTTTAGATATGCTGATCTGTTCCAAGACTACAACAATGATCACCTGAATATAGACCTCACTTAAAAATTGTTTCTGTCTTTTCAATTTTAATGGGTGAAATACACTTGAAAATAAATTGTAGACATTAACAAACTTCACCCCCAAAATTTCTCAGATTCAGCTATCTGAATTTTTGTTTCACAGAAGAAACGTAATCGTCCCCAAATACCATTTAGTAACTAGTTCTTATTCAAATTCCACCAATTATTCTCCAAATGGTCTCTGGGTTGGTTTTTTTAATTTTTAAACCCCAATTTAATTAAGATTCATACCTCATATTTGTTGTTGTTTCTCACATTTTTTTGGTTTTTTGGTCATTGTGGGGCTTGAACTCTAGGCCTGGGTGCTGTCCCTGAGCTCTTCAGCTCAAGGCCAGTGTTCTAACCACTTGAGCCACAGCGCCACTTCTGGTTTTCTTGTGGTTAACTGGAAATAAGAGTCTTTTGGACTTTCCTGCCTGGGCTGCCTTTGAACTGTGATCCTCAGATCTCAGCCTCCTGAATAGCTAGGATTATAGGCTGAGCCCTTGGCACCTGACTGTTGTTGTATTTCTTTAGTTTCTTTCTAGAAAAGTCATCTCACTTTTGTTTCTAGTACAAGTCTTTTTTTTTTTTTGTCTGTATGTGACATTTTTGGCTTCTTTCGTTACCCTCAGTGTTCTTGTTCCCTGACAGATGTAGGCAGGTGTAAACATTTGATTAGATTCAGGTTAGATTTTTGTTTTCTGGTGGTACTGGGGTTTGAATTCAGAGCCTTGTGCTTGCTTGGCTTTCTTGTTCTACTACATAAGCCATGCCTTCAACTCTGCTTTCTCATGGGATTTTCTGCCTGGCTTTGAATCACCATCTTCCAGATCTCAGCTTCCTGAGTGGTTAGGACTACTGATGTGAGCCACTGATGTCCAGCCTAGATATATATCTATATCTATATATTTTTTTTTTTGTCGGTCGTGGAGCTTGAACTCTGGGCCTGGGCGCTGTCCCTCAGCTCTTCAGCTCAAGGCGAGCGCTCTACCACTTGAGCTACAGCGCCACTTCCGGTTTTCTGGTAGTTTATTGGAGATAGGAGTCTCACGGTCTCTCCTGCCCGGGCTGGCTTTGAACCACGATTCTCAGATCTCAGCCTCCTGAGTAGCTAGGATTACAGACGTGAGCCGCCGCAAGCCTAGATATTTTTGACAAGAACACTTTAAGAGTGGTGTTGTAAAAATCATCTTGGTGGGGCTGGGAAGGTGGCTCAGTGGTAGAGCGCTTGCCTTGCATGCCTGAGGCCCTGGGTTCGATTCCCCAGCACCACATAAGCAAAAAGAAAACAAGCCGGAAGTGGCGCTGTGGCTCAAGTGGTAGAGCGCTAGCCTTGAGCTTAAGAGCTGAGGGACAGCGCCCAGGCCCAGAGTTCAGGCCCCACGACCGGACCCAAAAAAAAAATCATCTTGGTCACGTGAGGAGGCATATAATATTAGGTTGTCGCTTACTGACAGTGTTGAGCTGGGGTGCTTGGTCAAGGAAGTTTTGGAACTCTTTGATCTGGCCACCAAGTCATCCTACTACTCTATGCCACAGGTGTAACAGGATTACCATTTATGCAAATGTTGGGAGGACGCCCAAGCTGTCTTACGCTCTGACCTCCTCTGAGTCCTCTTTCATCTACTTCTGGCAATATCCTCTTACCTCCGTTTAGCGTTCACCCTTTTCTCTATGTAAACTTCATTTCCTTACCCACTGTTCATCATCTTCCATTATCCAAACAATTATGACATTCTATGCATTTAAATACATCATCACAGTATGTATTCTTTCCAATCCCAAGTTAATGATCTTACTTATTAGATTGTACCACAGAAATAAGGACTATTTCTGCCAAGTTTATTTGGCATATAATCTCTCACAGGAACACATCAACACAGGTGCCTAGTGGTTACCATGCCATTACCGGGTTCAATGGTTACAACCTGCAACAAGTAAAAGTGCTCTTAATGAGAAAAGCAATAGTGAGTATGTATGTAGATTTGTTTGAATGGTGGTGGTGGTGGTGGTGTATGTGTGTATATATGCATATGTGTGTGTGTGTGTGTGTTCTACTAAAATCTCCCTGTACATCTATACAGTGCCTATGTTTGCAAACCAATGACAGAAAGCACAAGTGTTATCTACCATTTTTAGGACATATGCAATTGGTATATGCAATTCTATATGCAATTGATGGTTATTTATGAGTAGTGTATTTGTTTAAATGCTTGTCCTAATTGGACAAACTACCTCAAGTAATCATAAGGATTTAGCAACACTTCTCACAAACATGAAGACAAACAAGCAGACATGAAAATGCATCCTGAAAACAGGTCTTATTTTGAAGCTGTGTGTTGGTAACCACACATGCAAAAAGAATTAAGAACTGAGATCACTGTCTGGACCATTCAGACCAAAAGTCAGAGACATATCCAGATAACGTTGCAAGTATGAAGGATTTGGTGAACTCCATTAATTATACAATTCAAGGGTATCATCCAGTTGAGATTTCTAAGTAAATAATTTGCTCCCATCTAGTTAGCACCAGCTGCCTAATATTATAGAAGAATAGCAAGTTTGCTATGTCTCATTTTCATGCGTTGTATCATCTGTGTTCCAACTTGGAAACCGGGGAGAAAGGTACTGGGCACACAGTTTTAAAAGGATCTGCTTTTTCCCTTCACTATGAGCAACCTAAGCTGGAATGACTAAACAATGCAAATGGCACCAAATTCATCCTCTGACTCCAAAGCCAGTCTGGGAGTAAGTACATCACGAAGAAGTTTAACTTCAGCTTCACAGTTCTTGTTCATTCTCTATCCTACCTAGGCCCTCAGAAGAGATAGCTAGTAAAACAAAACAAACAAAAACTAAATGCACGTAAGTGAATGATGCTCCTTCTCTCCCAAAACATTTGTTAATTTGGAGTCCAGTGGAGAAGTAAAAAAGCTATGTCAGACTTCTTGTCATGGTGACAAAATACCTTAGCAAATAACTCAAGGCAGGAATGATTATCTTGGCTTATAGTTTCAGAGGCTGCAGTCATTGGTAGGCTGGTTCCATGTTTCTGAGGGTCAGGGAGGTACAGCGTGGCAGCAGGGCATGGCAGCTAGGAAGCACTGATAGGAAGGGGCCACGGCAAGACACACCTCCCAAAACCACACCCAATGGCTTACTTCCTCCAAGACCCTCAGTTCCACAGTTCTATCACCGCCCCCTAGTCTATCCAAATTTGTCCATCAGGGGGTTCAGTATTTGATTAGGTCAGAGTCCTTGTGATCTAATCTTCCCTTGAAACAACCTCACAACATACGCAGGTGAAATTGAAAAGCAAGATTAACCACAGCCTTCCATGTGGTGGACATTTCGGGTATCCACAGACAGAGAAAGACTGCATCTGGAAGATAGAGGGCTTCCTTTTCTCACTGAAGTTGTATGACATAACTATAAGCAACCACCTACTCTGACTATTTTTTATGCATCACTTTATCAGTGTCTACTAAGCTACTATTGGCATTGCTCCATGACATTTACAAAGTAGGACTTCACATTAATTATTTTGTTTAATCTTACCTCATGAGCACTGTTATTCTTGCCTCTATTTTGAAGATAAGAAGCTGGTTCCTTGCCAAGTGCTAGACTCAGGGCTCTAAGTAGGGTCTTGAAGCTCTCCATAATCCTCTTTACTTTCCCACTTGCTGCCCTCCTTTCAGGTCTAACAGACCCACTTTCCCTGCTACCTTTAAGGAGTTAAAGGTAGTAATACTACATCAGCTTACTCAATATGAAAGAGTATTTTCCAGGCTTCTAAAGCAGGAGCAATTGGTTCTACTATCCTCACGTATATCCCCTCTCTCTGTCTGTGTGTGCACACACACACACACAAACACACACACACACACACACACACACCGAGTTATAGTAAGTCCAATGACTATTAAAACACACTTCCAACAATCCATGCAGCAGGGCACTGGAGGCTCATATCTATAATTCTAGCTACTCAAGAGGGTAAGATGTGGAGAGTCAGGGTTTGAGATCAACCTGGGCAAGTGAGTCTGCCAGGCTCCATCTCCAAAATAACTAACTAAAAAGCAGAACTAGAGGCATGGCTCAAGTGGGAGGGTACCAGCCAAGCAAGCAAGCTGAGCAAGTATGAGACCTTGAGTTAAAAATAAATCTATGCTTTGCTGTTTTAGTTACTACATTTTTCAGAAGAAAATGAAAGAATTAAGATTGAAATCTTAATTCTATGAATCACTACTGCCTAATAGGTTCAAAATTCAGATGTATCTACTAACATGTAAATTGTGACAAAATGCACAAATATAGCTAACATCTTTGCAGGATGTACCTTTTGTTCTTCTTGCCTGACACATGTTTTCTACCCAGTTCACCCTCACTAAAAAATAAGAATAATCATAAACTTTAAGCAATATCTCTGAAAGTTCACTACTTACTGTTACTCTACACATCACAGATCATCGATTTTTCCATTCTAGGGGCCACAGAGTAAATATTTTCGGTGTTACAGGCCATGTGACTTTACTGAAACTATTCAGTATTATCATCCCAGCATGAAAACTGGCCATTAGACAATCTGTAAGTGAACAAGCATGGCTGTATTCCAATAAAACTTTATTTAAATAAACAGGACTACGGCTCACTGTCTGCCAACCCCTTCTCTAGAAAATCATTTTTATGAGGTCTAATTGGTTTTGGTTTTTGTTGTTTTTAGTAGAACGATCTAGAATTTACCACTGAAACAGGCTGAGCTGTGTTGCTTACCTGTGACCCGATGGTTTCCTGGAAGCAGCGGCCAAGCTGAGTCTTGGCAGCCACCGGATAGACGTGTGGGAGGAGCTGCTGGTGAGGGTATGTGGAGTGCGCCGTCTGGGTCTTCTGGGCAGGGAGCCCTTGGTATGATACTTGGGACTGGCCTGGCTGAGATTCCTTTACCTTCTGTCCAGTGGGGCCATCAATTCTTGAAACCTGATGTATCTGGACGGAAGCTTCAGGAGGGTGCTTCACGTGGATGTTAACTATGTTGGGAGGAAATTTCACTGAAACAGATTGGGAGGAAGTTTTGTCAGTCATGGCTAAGTGTGAGACAAGTCAGGAATTTTTTAATGTAAAGTAAGTTCTACATAAGGACACATAGATGCATGTATAGGTATGGCACATGGGATAAATTGGGTGAATTTAAAGTGTATCTTTCTGTGTGGCACAATGGTCAAAATGATCAAGCAAGGGCTATGAAATCAGCTCTTCACCTTGAACCAGAGCTATCTGTGCCTAGGTTCATTACTAAACTCTTATCTGACCACTGGCAGTATCTTTCTTTACATGTTTCTGTTCTTGCCTTTAGACAAGGCCTCTTTGAACCCCGAGACTGCTTTCATCCGTTCTTAGCCATTTCTCTGTGATCTGGAAGTTCATATTAGTAATCAAGATTAAGATAAAGAACCCATGTTGCCAGTGGCCTAGCCTATCCAGTGGCCTCAGTAGTACTTGGCAAATTAATACCAACAAAATTGATGTAGCTTGTCCATTCATTGTTATGTAATTAATTTTGAAATCATGAGAAGACAAAAAGACTCAGAAGATATATACAATATGGCCTTATACCTTAATTTATGTATTTAAAAATGAAATTGCATATGTTGGAAATGAACTTTACAACTTCGGGGGTGGGGGAAATGGGGAGAGGTGGGGGAGGGAAGGGATAGTGGGAGAAAAACAAAGGAGGGAGTAACAATGCTGGACAAGAAATGTACCCATTACCTTACTCATGTAACTGTAACCCTTATGTCCAGCATCTTTACGATGAAATAATTTTTTAAATGAAATTGCAATTTTAGAGATATTAAAATCTCAAACAAGGCTGGCATGGTGGCACACCTTTATGATTCAGGCTCGTGGAAGGCTGAGATAGCAAACAAGTTTGAAATCATCCTGGGCTACATAGCAAGACACAAAACAGCCAGGAGCCAACAGCTCACACCTGTAATCCTTGCTCAGAAGGCTCAGATCCTTAGGATTGTATTTCAAGGCTAGTCTGGGAAGAAAACATCTGAGAACTACCATCTCCCAAATAAGCAGCAAAAAGCCAGACCAGAACTGTGGCTCAAGTAGTAGAACACCAGCTGATCTACCACAAAGCCTTGATTTCAAACCCCAGTACAAAAAAAAGACCAAAAAAACTTCTTGCAGAAACATACTTATGAAACAAAAATATCCATTTCCCTCAAGTCATAAAATTCTGAAATGTATGCTGCTCATTCACATAGATTAGTAATTCCTATCAAAGGCATCAAAACTCTAGAATTATTTATTTTCAAAGATTCCCCCACTGTGGAAATGACAATACTTGCATTTTTCCAGAGATTCAGGCTTACCAAGCACAATTGTCTTGTCCATAAAAAAAACACAATGTGTAAGTTCTTTTGTGCTAATGACATGCACACATAAACTCTCTCTCTCTCTCTCTCACACACACACACACACACACACACACAATACCAAAAACAATGGGATTTTTATACCTGTAACCAGACTGAATGAATCTCTTCCCGTTTAAAACAAAATCTCATTTTCTGATACAACAATTCAGGTTTTAAAGAACAAGAGCCAGTAACATTTCTCTGACCTCCACCTTTAAAAAAAATTGTGTACTTATAAAGATGCCAGGTTTAAAAAAATGAATTAGTCACAGGATTTCTGAGCTCCAAGTGACCTAGTTTACCTTCCTCTACAGATGAGCAGAGATCATGTGACCATTGAGCACTAAAACCAACCTCTCTTCAATTACAACTCATGGACGGACGGGGGCTGAATGGCCCCACTACTTTATTGGTAGTGTGGGGGTCGCCCTCAAGTTGCTCCTCTTTGTTCCCCAGCCACATCAAGACAGCATTGTGCAATCCCATGTTAGTGGTAAGAGTCACTAGAAAAGGATAGACTCTTTTTCATTTTCTTATTTCCAACACTGTAGTCCTTCATGGCCAAGAAAGTCCTGTAACCACATGCTTGGGCCCCCATGCTATCTCTATTTTGAGTCCTCAGACACAAGGTTGCACACGCCTTTTCGTTTCAATACCAGCCCTGGCCATCAAAGAGACCTCGCTTCTCTTTGGCTTTGACAGGTTCACAGGGGTCTGTGGGATCAGTGGGCAAAAGAACAATAACAAAACGCTTACCTTTGACTCCTTGTTGGCTGGTCATGGTTAGAGGCAAGGTATGTGTGGAATGGATGACATGTGTGCCCAGTGCTTTACCTGGCTGTTGGGAATGTTGGTAAAGTTTAGGCACACTGGCACCATGGACTGGAATCTGACAAAGCTTTCCTGTGAAGTTTGGAGGGCACTGACATTTGTCCCTTGAACTGCACTGTCCACCATTCATACATGGAAGATGGCAGATTACTGCAAGGGAAGAGGAAATATGGAGAGTTAGTTTCTCAAACCAACCAATCAAACCCTCCAGACACACAAGCCATTAACATTATAGCCACTACATTCCCACTGGCTTTAGAAATGGTAAACTCCGAGTAAATATTTAGCTGAAGAATTCTTATTATTCATTACCTACTGTTGGTTGTCAGATTTTTCACTGAAAAATGTTTGTGTCTGTTCATCAAAAAATTGGTATCTAGTTTTCATTTTTGGTTATATTTTTGTCAAGTTTGGGTGTCAGGTACTCCTGGCTGCATTGATATGTTTGGTAGCATTCCTTGGCTTTTTTTTCTTCAGTACTAGAATTTTGAACTCAGTGCCTCAACCTTGTTAGGCAGGCATCCTCAGTGAACCACACTTCCTGTCCCATGTTTTGCACTGGTAATTTTGAAATAAGGTCTTGCTTTTTAGCCAAACCCACAGCTGGACCACAGTCATACTATTTTCTGTTCCCTGCCCCTGCAGACATGACAAATGTCCACCACCACGTCCAGATTCTTCCACTGCACTGGAGTCTTGCAAACTTTTCATCCAGACTGTCTGGAATCACAGTTCTCTTGATATCAAACTCCTTAATAGGTTAGAAATGGCAGTAACACTACACTGCACTCAGCTACTGGTTGAGAAGGGATCTTGTGAAACATGCTAGAGCTGCACTCAAACCCAAATTCTCTCAATCTCTAAAGCTCAAGTAGGTAGGATTACAGGTATATCCACCAGGTCCAGACCTTTGTTTTCTACTCTGCATTCTAATTTGAGATGCACTGGTATTTGGTTACTCTTTGAAGGTCTGGTAGAATTCATCATTAAATCCATCCAGTCCTGGCTTTTCTGTGTTGGAAGACTAATCACTGCTTCAATTTCATTGCTCATTATAAATGTGTTCAAATTGCTTACATATTCTTGTTTCATAGGTCATGTGTGTATATAAATTTTTTGTTTCTTCTAGATTTTCCAGTATATTGAAATACAGTTTTTTAGTAGTCCCTAATGATTCTCTGAATTTCACTGGTGTTTTTTTTGTTATAATACTTTTTCATCTCTAATTTTATTAATTCTAGTTTCTCTCTTTTGGTCAGCTTCAATAAGGGTTTGTGGATCTTGTTTTTCTTTTCAAAAAATTTATTTCGGTGATTGTTTGGATCATTCTTTAGTTTCCACTTCACTAATTTCAGTCATGGTCTTTACTATTTCTTTCTGTCTACTTAGTTTTGGCTTGACTTATTCTTGTTTTCCAAAAGGCTTGAGGGAAGTCATTAGTTTATATATGGGCAATCTGATGTTTTTTAGTCAGGTAAAGAATTTCAGAATTCTTCTTATCCTTTAAAAACTATCACATTTATCTGCTTTAAACACTGTCAACTTTAAAAAAGTAAAGCCTCTTCTCAATGATGATTTCTTCCATATCTTACTCTTATTAAATCCTCTTTTATGACCATATTTTTTCAGAAAAACAATTGCTAACTTCCCAACACACCATAAGGGACGGCTAGGCTATGACTTCCCTTCCTCTACTCTTCTCCACAGAAACTATTCTTAATAAGGTCACCGGTGGTCTCCATGTTCCTAAATCCAATGGATGGATTTCAGTCTTCCCTCATTTATGTGGCATCTTACTATTCTGTTCCTTCGTTCTTTCCTATCTCACTTTAATATTCATTAAATATTGATAGATTTCATGATTCAATCTTAAAAGTCTTCACTAACTCTCCACACTCCTCTATGATTTCATATGCTCAAGTCACCCAAACCTCTAACAGTTTCCTGCTGAGCTTCCTGGACAAAGCTTTCTGCTGAGATTCAAACTAGCTAGTACTACATATTTCCATGTAGATGTCCCACGATACCTCAAATTCAAGATGCCTAATCCTTTGCTCACCATCTTCCTTCCCATACTTGTAGACATTTCTATCTACTTCTTTTCCATTCCTAGGCCTTTGTTCTTTCTGCATCTTCATCACTTATGAATATACCTCATTCTGCATAATATAATTCACTAAACTTTACAGTCTTCAACTTTTTCCATGTGGAATCCTTCACCTGGAACTGTTCTTATCTGGCCCCATTCAGCTACCTAACTTCCTACTTAACCCTCACTTCTGCATAGGAGTTCATTCATTACCATCATACCACATATAAATTTTCCTAGATATAAGTTGTTACTATATAACAACTGTCCAGCTGCATCTCTGCATGTATCATCACTCCACTAGAATTAAATGAAGCAGAGAATGTGTCTTGTAATAATTTACCCGTAGCATGTACCTCTAGAAGAAATAATTAAGGCCTGAACTATTTGTGCCTATCACTTTATCAAATGCCATTCTGTAGTAGAGAAGTCTCTACCCTTCAAATGCTTAAAAAGCATAAGAGTTTAGACAATATATAACTAGAAATACAACTCAGAAAATAACTCACAATTGGAAAATGTGAAATATAAATGGAATATGAAATATAAATAGAAGTTCCAAGAAGAGAAAAGTTGTTTCTAGGAAATCCAAAAAGCACTTTCCAAGGAGAGAGATCATCTGGGACAGGTCCTTAAGACTGACAAGATTCAGAATGCAGGAAAGTGCATGCTATGCTATGGAGACACTAGTATAAATAAAGGAGGGAGAAGATAGTGAATAAATCCATCTTGCTAAAACTACAGTTCCTCAGAGAAGGGAAAGGTATCCAGTGATAAACTGGAAGAAGTAGGTTTGAGTCAGACTGTGGAAGTTACTAATGGCCCACTGAGTGGTTTAGATTTTATTCTGTAATCAGTGAGCTACTCTATGGACTTCAAGTAGAAGATTAAGCAAGGTTGCTGAGTGTTTGGAAGGAGTACTCTGGGTGTGGCAGCAGGATTAGTTGAAAAGGAAAGTGACAAAGATGGTTGAAGTCAGTTAGGAAACTATCATCATAATTGGCAGACAAGTTGAAAACCATAGGCATGGAAAGAAATATGAAGTAATACAATGCCAAAGGAAAGACCAGTAGAACCTGGAGACAGAAGTAGGAGGGAAAAGGTTGGCCAGGAAAGAAGAGAGGGAAGAGAGGAAGGAGAGAATTGGAAAATAAATTTAACCATGGTCACAACCCAGAAATTGCCTTTGATGTTTCACATCACGTCTAAACCATTCACACTGGGTGTGGTCTAGAAAAGACTGTCAGGTCTGCTCTGTGAGGTTCTGGATAAAAGAACAGGAAGTCAAAGTTTGAGTCAATGACTTCCAAAGTCACAGTTCAGTTTTGAGTTGAATTTCTCAATCAGTTTGGCCACATTGGATGAGCTTAGTGTATACTTGGTGAAAAGCAAGGGGAGCTAGACCAAGATTTACATGTGCTATGAATGATTGATCACTGGAATACAGGTACTCTTCACTTCCAATATGCCTGAATTTCAGGAATTGTAGTATATGTAATACAAACTTCATTGCTACCTCTTTGGTCCACAAATTATTTCATGAGTAACAGGTGTACATCATGACCAATGGTCAATCACATCAATACTTTCAAACTCCAATGGTGATTGGACACTGCATGTCAATTTCATAATTCAGGCACAGACAACAAAATAGTGTTGTCTCCTCACTCAAAGTGATAAAATCGACAGGACCTTTTTACAAAAGCAGATAAGCAAGAGCATGGGACTCTACAAACCAATGTTTAGCCAAGAAATAAAAAGTGATAGCATTAGACATAAAATTGTAACAGTTGTGTCAGATACTTTGCAATTCAAAATTGACTTCTCTAAATGTAAAATGGAACAATTTCACAGAAAGAAAACATATTCTATATTATAAGGTACACAATAATAATATTATCATGTACAAATTATTCTTGATTAGTTCTACTCAAGATGCATTGTATTCATAAACTGCTTGATTAAATGGAAATCTTTTAGCTCCTTGCTAAAAGATAATTAAAAAAGAAATAATGAACAATTATTTTTTTAATTGTGAAACTACTGTACAGATGGATTATAATTGCATAGGCAAGGTAATGAGTACATTTCTTTTTTTTAAATTTTATTTTATTTGTGAACATACTGTACAGAGGGGTTACAATTACATGGGCAGGATAATGCGTACACTTCTTACCAAGCATTGCAGCCTCCTCCTTTGTTTACCCTTCACCTCCCTTCCCAGCCTCCCCCCTCTCCCCCCCACCCAATCCTCCCCCCCCCCACCGACATTGTAAAGCTCGTTTTTGACATGGCAATTTGTACTTCAATGAGTACATTTCTTATCAAGCATTGTTGCCTCCCCCTTTGTTTCCCCTTCCCATCCCTTCCCGAGATCCCCCACCCCCCCCCAGCCGCCAAAGTTGTAAGGTTTGTTTTTCGACCTAAAGTCTTGTACATCTCATTGTTGCAATGGGTCCACCTGTATCCCTATTTAAACAATTTGTTTTTTCCCTTTCCCTCCACAAATTATACCAACATCAAATACAGTGAAAGCAGGGGTTATACTGTGGGGGAGGGACATACAAAGCGACAAAGAAATCATCTTATAAATAAGTTAGAAACAATTGCAAGAAAGAAAAAAACATTTGAATCCTTATCTTGGTGTTCATTTCGCTTAACATCAACTTATCTGACTGTTTCTGCTTGTCTCAGACATATACTAGTTATTGCAAATAAGGGAAACCATGGGACCTATGTTTCTTATTCTCGGTATTTCTAACATTTTTAAATGATGGACTGCCCAATAAACGTTAGAGCTGGGCACCAGTGGCTCGTGTCTAGAATCCTACTTACTCAGAAAGCTGAGATCTGAGGATTGTGGTTCAAAGTCAGCCCAGGCAAGAAAGTCCGTGATACTCTTATCTCCAATTAACCACCAGAAAACTGGAAGTGGTGCTATGACTCAAGTGTTAGGGTGCTTACCTTGAACACAAAGAGGCTCAGGTACAGTACCTAGGACCTAAGTTCAAGCCCCAGGACGAGCAAGAAAAAATTGTTTTAGGGCAAGTTATAAATGTAT